CTTATCATATTTTGAAGTTAGCTTAGAGAAGATCTAAGCTTAAGAGTAGAAGTTAAATGATTTAACTAAACTAAATAAAAAGAGTGATCGTTTAAAGGGATGAGATCATAATTCTCTCTCTCTTCTTTTAACATCCAGTCTGTGAGTCAGGGAGACGTCTAGTGGGTTGATTCCTGTACATAGCTTTCATGTACTCTCTTTTTTAACGTTCTGAGCAGAGATTTGAATTTTACGACATTTGGAATTTGAATTGCCTAACAGCGTAGCCGAATTCACAATAGTTTCCAGTCTACGAGAAGTAAAGTCCATACTCCCATACAGATTCCCACACAATGTTTGCGCAATACAAGATCAAGTTCCTCAGTTATATAAAGCCGTTTTCTCCGGGGTTGTCGCGAGTTTTGTTGATATAAATTGCCGAGGAAGGCTGAACGAAGCTTGATAGCTGCTGTAAGGTTTCTGAGTGCCTGAACACTGAACACTTCTATTTTGTGCGAGAGGAACAGTCCGACCAATTCCTTAAACTTTGTATCTTCGTGGCCGTACGCTGTTTAGAGGTTTTTGACAGTAAATGATTATTTTTTTAACATTAAGAGATCGATCTCTTTTCTTTTGTTCTAACATGAAAATCGGAAACCTTTACACCCTCTCTCTAGCCTACCCAATCTCTCAAATTCGGCCTCATTGACTCGCAGACTGGGTGTTAAAACAACTTACATTGACCCGCTGCTCAGCGGAAGCACGTCATCATCTTAGACAATAGTTTCCAACATTATTTATTCACCAATGGTATTTCACCTGCTTTATGATTGGTCCACATAAACAGTTATATTTTCAAATGTAATTCTGTAACACACATTCTTGCCATGTTCTACGAACAAATTCACGTGCTTTTTTCTTCTTGACAAAAACAAAGATATCAACAACATTCCAATAGCATTTAATAGGTTAAACTCTCTAAACAGTTACTCGACAATTTATCATTTAATGATCACAAGTATTGTCGTCTGAACTGAAATGAGATTTAATAACTCAATAAAAAAATATTTTGTTAACCCTTGTATTATTAACACAGTTTTTCGCAGCAATAGCTGGTTAATGAACATTATTATTAGCAGCTGTATCGTTACACTAAACATTATTATTAACGGTTATAACTCTATAATTACTGTAATTATAAGTGGTTACACTGAACATTATTATTAACGGTTATAACTCTATAATTACTATTATTATAGTGGTTATATTGAACATTATTATTAACGGTTATAACTATAATTACTGTTATTGTAAGTGGTTACATTGAACATTATTATTAACGGTTATAACTCTATAATTACTGTTATTATAAGTGGTTACACTGAACATTATTATTAACGGTTATAACTCTATAATTACTATTATTATAAGTGGTTACATTGAACATTATTATAACTATAATTACTGTTATTGTAAGTGGTTACATTGAACATTATTATTAACGGTTATAACTCTATAATTACTGTTATTGTAAGTGGTTACATTGAACATTATTATTAACGGTTATAACTCTATAATTACTGTTATTGTAAGTGGTTACATTGAACATTATTATTAACGGTTATAACTCTATAATTACTATTATTATAAGTGGTTACACTGAACATTATTATTAACGGTTATAACTCTATAATTACTATTATTGTAAGTGGTTACACTGAACATTATTATTAACGGTTATAAGTCTATAATTACTTATTATTGTAAGTGGTTATCTATAATTACTGTTATTGTAAGTGGTTACACTGAACATTATTATTAACGGTTATAACTCTATAATTACTATTATTGTAAGTGGTTACACTGAAAACTATTATCAACGGTTATAACTCTAATTACTGTTACTAGAAGTGGTTACACTGAACATTATTATTAACGGTTATAACTCTATAACTATTATTATTGTAAGTGGTTACACTAAACATTATTATTAACGGTTATAACTCTATAATTACAGTTATTGTAAGTGGTTACACTGAACATTATTATTAACGGTTATAACTCTATAACTATTATTATTGTAAGTGGTTACACTGAAAACTATTATCAACGGTTATAACTCTAATTACTGTTACTAGAAGTGGTTACACTGAACATTATTATTAACGGTTATAACTCTATAACTATTATTATTGTAAGTGGTTACACTGAAAACTATTATCAACGGTTATAACTCTAATTACTGTTACTAGAAGTGGTTACACTGA